CTCATGTATATTTTACAGCATTAGTTGAGAGATTTTTTTCCTTGAGAAAATTTGGCATGTACTGTACTGATATATATCCAAAATAATCGATGTTGAATTGAATCGAATCGCAAGCTTGTGAATGAGAATCAAATCGAATCGTGAAATTTGTGTCAAAATCCAGCCCTAGTGGTTAAAGGAATAGTTCACCCAGAAATTAACATTCTGTCATTAAAGGTGGGGTAAGCGATTTCTGGTAGCCAATGTTAAAGCGTTTAAAGAAAAATCCCTTACCCCACCTTTAATTACTCACCCTGATGTCGATCCAAACCCTTAAGAGCTTCATTCATCTTGGGAACACAAATTAAGATATTATTGAAGAAATCCAAGAGCTTTCTGACCCTGCATAGACAGCAACTACCAAGGTCAAGGCCCAGAAACTTAGTAAGGACATCGATAAAATAAATGTAAGCTCAGAAAGCTCTTGGATTTCATCAAAATATCTTAATTTGTGTTCCGAAGATGAACAAAGATCTTATGGGTTTGGAACGACATGAGAGTGAGTAATTAATGACAGAATTTTTATTTTTGGACAACTGAAGGAATTATGGGTTTGGAACGACATGAGAGTGAGTAATTAATGACAGAATTTTTATTTTTGGGTGAACTATCCCTTTAACATGACACTCGTGTTTGTTTTACATTGCAAAGCTGAATATTCAGCAGCCATTACTCCAGTCTTCAGTGTCACATGATCCTTCAGAAATTATCATAATATGCTAATTTGGTGCTCAAGAAACATTTCTTATTATTATCAATGTTGATATCAGTTGTGCTGATGTACAATGATACACCGTTTTTCAGGATTTTTTGATAAATAGAAAGTTCAAAAGAAAATATTTTTTTGTAATATCATAAATATCTTTTGATCAATTTAATTTGCCCTTGCTAAATAAAAGTATTACTTTCTTTACAAAAATAAAATACTGTCCCCAAACTTTTTAACAGTTGTGTATATAAAGTATATAAACTGATACAATTATAAAAATCAAAAGAAATAATTAAACAAACTACCTCTGTTCAAGCACTCTGCCATCTGGACTGATCTCTCCATCATTCTTTAAATCGTTTTCATCTCCATCATTCCCTGGCCTTTGTTCTCTACTGTCAACACCACCGTCTCCTAGTTGTGTCTCTTTACCCCTTGCATCTGTGTGAAGTTCCCGGTGGCGTGGGCGTCGGGGCCTGGGCCCCATATCAGGGGTCAGCGTGTCCCCCTGCGCAGGAGGCCTGTACTTACGGACTGCCCGCTGCCGCCTGTTTCCATTCAGTCTGGGGCAATGGTTGTTAATGTCCAGAGTGCCCTCGGGTGAGGTTTTTGATTCAGACGGCTCTGTTAGGGGTAAGTTCAGCGTCACTGGGGATTCAGGGACAGATATGTCCACAGGCATTGGTGGCTCCGGTATTGGAATAGTTAAAGGGGGTTCAGGAATAGGAATGGACAGAGCTTGCTCATCCACAGGCATGTCCATAGGCATAGGTGGCTCCAAGGTAGCCTCTGGCATAGTGGTGGTTGTTGTGGTCTCTATGGCTATGCGCTTGCTGTTAGATGGAGATATTCCAGGCTTCCTGTGGTGATGGCAGCCAGGTGGTCCATCGGGCTCCTCACTGGGGCTGCTGAAAAGGATCTCGCGGCTGGACATCTGTCTGTGTCGGCGCAACTGGCTGGTCCTCTGCTCCCAAACTGACATGGTCAGTCTCCTCCTTCTCTCTCTCCTGGACATGAAAGAGTTAGAGGCATTGAGTGGACGAGCATCAGCTAGACTCTCTGAATCCTCAAAGGAGTAAGCCGCACGGCTCCGGTGAATTGCACGCTTCCTGTACAGGTAGGGCCTCCTCCTCCTCCTGAGGAAAAAGAGAGAGGACACAATAAGACTGGATGCCACACTAAATGTTTCAACTGCCATGCCACAACAATTGTTTACATTAAATTATCACTGAGCTGAACAAAACCCTTTCTACCCTTCTGAAAAGACCAACTTAGTCCAGTGGTTCTCAGTTGGTTTCGCTTCAGGACTCTATACTACAATGGACATCAAGTGAGATAAAAAACAAACAAACTGTACAACATAAAAAAAATCAACAAAATCTATTCATTTATTTATTGTTTGTTCAAATTTTTTTTGCTTATAAAAATGTATCTGAAGTTTTACAAATCTCAAAAATGAAACATTGACATTTATTATTCCAACCATGAGCTATTTTGGTCCATCAAAATTAACAATTTACTGTCAGTTTAACATTACCTTTACAGTTTGAATGTTTGGTTTCTACATGTATCTAGAATTTCAATGGACTCATGCTCTTAGCAGCCAATAATTCATTGTACAAAACACACCTGTCCACATGGGAATACACTTGGGCAGCTTCTACCAAGTGGCAGATGAATTTGCACCTAAGTAGATTTTGATTGGACAAATTACAAAAAAAAAATTCCTTCCTATTAAATATTGATAAGACTATTTATATTGCTATTCTAAATATCTAATGTATGTTGATATTTAGTGTTTACCCGAGAAAACCTGCGACCCACCAGTCGAGAACCACTGGCTTAGATCATTCAGTTGACAGCTGGTTCACCAAGAACATTTTACTAGTTAAGAAATATGTAGGGCACCGACATAAAAAAAAACAACATCATGGTGACCAGGTGTACTGGTCAGGCCAGCAGGGTAGCTGAATATGAGAATTGAAGTATCTGTGGGCAAAATATTTAACAGAATGTTGTTAATAAGTACTCTGCAACATGTGGTAGAAAGGGTCCATTAATTTTGTTTTCATGACTTTGTATTTTTGTGTGACTGGAATTCATGGTCCAGCTTGTAACGACAGCAGAGATGCTAAACAACTGGATAGAGTTGCAATATCAAAGTGAAAAACGAAACAGCGAAACTGGAAATAGAGTTGATTCAGAATGGGGAGAGAAAAAAGATTGCAGGAAACATCATTGCAGGAAACTGACAAATCAAATTCCAACCAAAGATCAGACTTGAAAATGTGAAATCAGACATTTGATAGAGATGGTGGAACAGAAAGCTTCACCCAGATAGATAAATTAGGGGGTGCTGAATGTTAAAATTGAAATAAACAGACTATTACTTACTGGTACTTGTACTCTTGTGTGGTCCGTGTAATCAATGAGCGATTGGTTGAAAACAAGACATTAGTGCTTTCGAGAACAAGGACAAAACAAGCCAAGCATCACAGCCCAAAAAGGTCATTGACTAAAGTCGAGACAAATACTGTTCCCTTTCAGTCGGTCACGTTCGACGTACGTCGGAACTGACCGACGAATTGGGGATCGCTTTGGGAGACCAATCTACTTCGAGTGTAAGAAAAATGAGCCAATGCACATTGGCATGCGATAATTGCCACAGCTGCTCTGCGCTGCAGTGCGAGTATTTAATGAGCAGCCGGTGCGTCGCATATTTGCTTTTCGCTTCGGAGCAGAACACATGTGCTGTTCCTGCGCGTGTGTTTTCTTTTGAAAGTGGTGGAAGACGAGCTGCTCATTGGGAAGGAGCCTCTGCGTGTCTGGTGCGGGTGTGACGGCGCTGACAGTGTTGGTCGCGATCTCACGAGGGAGCAAAAACAGCTGTTCTCACAGCTCGCTGGAGAGTGCGTCTTCAACGAGTGTGAGTGCTCACAACAGGCTTGCACTATTTGCACTGTTGTGTAGCCGCGGCCATTTCCCCAGTGCGTTTCAGCACCAGTAGAGAGCAAATTCCTAAAAGAGCACACACGGTTTGACCCTGCGTCTTTTTCAAGATGTCATTCAGACCGTGTGCTACTGGATGCGGTCGCTACCTGGCCCCCGGTGATGGTCATGATTACTCCCTCACGTGTTTGGGCCTCGCACATGCTGAGGTGGCACTCATGGATGGTACATGTTCTCACTGCGGGAACATGACCATCTCGGTGTTAAGGTCGAGACTCCAGTATCTTGAAAGGACTGGAGCCCCTTCGTATATTCCCCGATCTAGTTCTTCTTCTGGGCCAGCTCAGAAGAAGCCTACTTCGGTTAATAACCTAGGTGACCTGAGGATTACAGTGAGGAATACCCCGCCGAGTCAAACTCCTCGGGCTCCTCACTCCTCCATGACACTGCAACCAGTAAAGCCTCCAAGAGGGCGTGCTGGTCCGCCTCGTGCGGCACCAGTCGTCACTTTTGGGGATCCCCCGGAGGACCAGATGTTGGTCGCTGCATCGGAGGGTGGGTGTATGTCCTCCGGGGATGAAGATTCGGCTGCGCTGCCTCCTTCGGGTGTGTCAGCATTGCCCGAGTCAGACCCAGAGATGGCTACTATACTTTCCCGGGCTGCCGCAAGTGTCGGGCTCGAGTGGAACCCTCCAACGTGTCCCGAACCCTCGCGGCTGGACGATTGGTTTCTTGGAGCGGCCCGTGCTGGTTCTCAGCGCTCCGCCCCAGTACCTTTCTTTCCGGAGGTGCATGAAGAGGTGACTAAATCGTGGACAGCACCTTTTTCTGCCCTAAGCCGGTCTGGTCCTTCTTCCTCCCTCACTACCCTCGATGGCGGGGCGGCTAAGGGGTACGTGGAGCTCCCCCCAGAAAACTTTGCCCAGCAGTTTTCAGCGGCACAGAAGCAGACGGAGGCGCTTAAGCACATCCTGCCCCGACGACCAGCTGCTGCCTCCACCCAGTCATCGGCTGCAGCGCCTTCATCTGCTCGTCGCCGAGGGCGCCCCCCGGCGGCCACCTCCGCCCCTGCTCAGCCTAAGCAGCAGCCTCCACCTAGGCGGCAGGCGGCTGGCCGCAAGGGGAATGCCCAGCGCGTCCAGGCCCCCGCCAAACCAGGCGGTAAGCGTAAGGGCAAGCGGCCCTGAGACGGGCGACCCAGAGATGGGAGGATCTGCTCTCCGGGAGATGGTGTCCGGAAGAGGGCCAGGTGGAGAATCCTTTATTTCCTTTTGTTTTTGTTCCTCCGCTGGCTCCTCGGAGTCCAGCGGTACCCACATTTTCAAAAAAAGAGTAAATTCCTCTATCTCTGGGTCACAAGAGGGCGCAAACACCTTGCCACTCCCTTCCCCCTCTCTCTTCACCAGCAGGCAGCAGTGTGTGGGTCGGGGACTCCACCAGGCCTTCTCTCACATCCTCTGCCCCACCCTGGAACCAGGTAAGTATGGCGCAGCACACGCAGACTCCACTTCGGGCCGACTCAGTGCCTCCTGAATCAAGTGCCTGTGTTCCACCTCGCTGCCCCACCCCGGGTACGTCTGTGGTTCCGTTGGTTCTGCTTGCACGGTGTCTGGGAGCCTGGCTAGCGCTCCCCAGCCCCCTTAGTGGTCCAGGAGCGCCACCTGTGGCTGAACCTGGCAGATATGCGTGAGCCCGACAAAGTTCGGTTCCTCAATGCCCCTGTCTGTCAGGCCGGCCTCTTCGGCGACGCTGTTGAAAACTTTGCCCAGCAGTTTTCAGCGGCACAGAAGCAGACGGAGGCGCTTAAGCACATCCTGCCCCGACGACCAGCTGCTGCCTCCACCCAGTCGTCGGCTGCAGCGCCTTCATCTGCTCATCGCCGAGCGCCCCCCGGCGGCCACCTCCGCCCCTGCTCAGCCTAAGCAGCAGCCTCCACCTAGGCGGCAGGCGGCTGGCCGCAAGGGGAACGCCCAGCCCGTCCAGGCCCCCGCCAAACCAGGCGGTAAGCGTAAGGGCAAGCGGCCCTGAGACGGGCGACCCAGAGATGGGAGGATCTGCTCTCCGGGAGATGGTGTCCGGACCACTCCCCCGGAGGAGGGACGGGTGGAGAATCCTTTGTTTCCTTTTGTTTTTGTTCCTCCGCTGGCTCCTCGGAGTTCAGCAGTACCCACATTTAAAAAAAACGAGCAATTTCCTCTATCTCTGGGTCACAAGAGGGTGCGGTTGGCAGTGTGCGACGTGTTGCAAACACCTTGCCACTCCCTTCCCCCTCTCTCTTCGTCAGCAGGCAGCAGTGTGTGGGTCGAGGACTCCACCAGGCCTTCTCTCACACCCCCTGCCCCACCTTGGAACCAGGTAAGTGTGGCACAGCACATGCAGACTCCACTTCGGGCCACCTCAATGTCGAGTGCCTGTGTTCCACCTCGCTAACCCACCCTGGGTACGTCTGTGGTTCCGTTGGTCACGCTTGCATGGTGTCTGGGAGCCTGGCTAGCGCTTCCCAGCCCGTCTCACTGGCTCATCCGTACCATCAGACTCGGCTATGCGATTCAGTTCGCCCGGTGTCCCCCCAAGTTCAGGGGCATCCACTTCCCCTCGGTGCGGAGCAGCGATGCCCCTGTCTTACTGACGGAGATCGACATCCTACTGGCGAAGGACTCGATCAAACCGGTCCCTCGTTTTGTGCTGGGCCGCCTCAAAGGACTGCTACATGGCAAGCACGTGCTGGTCCGTACGGACAATACTGCGACTGTTGCGTACTCTTCGGAGCCGCACAGGTAGACCTGTTTGCCTCTCCGGACTCAACCCATTGCCAGCTGTTTTATTCTCTGACCAAGGGCACCCTCGGCACGGATGCGCTGGCGCACAGCTGGCCCCAGGGCATTCGCAAATATGCGTTTCCCCCAGTGAGCCTTCTCATACAGACACTGTGCAAAGTCAGGGAGGACGAGGAGCAGGTCCTGGTAGTTGCGCCATACTGGCCCAAGTTCTCGGATCTTATGCTCCTCGCGACAGCCCCTTCTTGGCCCATTCCTCTGAGGAAGGATCTGCTTTCTCAGAGACGGGGCACCCTATGGCACCCGCGTCCAGACCTCTGGAAACTTTGGTTCTAGGTGGTGACCTACCCCAATCAGTGGTAGACACTATCACTTCCGCTAGAGCCCCCTCTATGAGGCGCCTCTATGCTTTGAAGTGGAACCTGTTCGTTGATTGGTGTACTTTCCATCGGGAAGACCCCCGAAGATGTCCGGTCAGAGTCGTGCTTTCCTTCCTGCAAGAGAGGTTGGAGCGAAGGCTGTCTCCTTCCACCCTGAAAGTGTATGTTGCCGCAATTGCCGCACATCACAATGCAGTTGATGGTAAGTCTCTTGGTAAGCATGACCTTGTCGTCAGGTTCCTTAGAGGGGCGAGGAGGTTGAACCCTCCTCGTCCTACCTCGGCTTGCAACGCCACTCCCGCCCGCTGGGCCGGATACGTGCTTCTATTGCTCCAGTAGAGTTCCCCAGAAATGGCTAACCCTGTGAGTTCCTCCGTCACCCCCTGGCAGTCAGACGTGGCGGAGCGTCTGACGCCAGGCCTACACTCGTATGCGTTGTGGAACCTGTGTTAGGCTGGGTGTCCATATGTAGTGGTCCCTGCAGCGATCCCATATGTGTATTCTTCCACGGTAAGTCTACCTAGGCCGGCTAGCACGTGTCTTTCCCTCCTGTCGTCTCTGCTGGTGTTCCTTCCCCCCTAGAACTAGGCTGGAACCACCCCAGAGACTTCCATATGTTGTATTACCCTTATTGGCTAGTCCATATGTTTAACCACCACATTTTGCTTCCTACGGACAGGATGTGGCTTCCACAGCATCCCCTTCCCTTTTAGGGCACGCTTTCCCAGCGTTATCCAAATAGTCACACTGAGTGAGTCTTGCGGAACAGCTGTGACTGACCTTCCCTGCTTAGAGCCCTGACTCCCGCTCCAACAGTTGGGGGCGGTCCAGGAGTCTCAAGCAGAGCGCTGGAAAGGCCAGCGACAGTGGCATGTTGGTAGATATCCCCAATTCGTCGGAACGTGACCGACTGAAAGGGAACGTCTAACCCTCGTTCCCTGAAAGAGGGAACGGAGACGTACGTCCCGTAACCACAGTCGTTGTACCTCCGCTGTACGGCCGAGTCACTAGCTCGGCTCCTCAGTGGAAAAGCAAATATGCGAAGCACCGGCTGCTCATTAAATACTCGCGCTGCAGCGCAGAGCAGCTGTGGCAATTATCGCATGCCAATGTACATTGGCTCGTTTTTTTTACACTCGAAGTAGATTGGTCTCCCAAAGCGATCCCCAATTCGTCGGTCAGTTCCGACATACGTTTTCCAGTTGTATTTCAATGCTCTGCTAAAGCCAATTTTTTTACATTTAACATGTTGTATTTATACTATTTCTGATTATAAACTAAAGTTACACTAAGTTTTTTTAAAAATTTAAAAGAAAAAAGTTTTGGGCTGCGTAGCAGGGCAGCAAAGCGTCACATGATAACATGATGGTAATTATATTAGATAAGAAGCAACAAATACAGTATTCTGGAACATTTTGAAATGCTGAGACAGTAAGAATCATGGCACAGATATAAGACATATATAAATGGGATCCATATGCATAAGCACACAATATCAGAAAGAGAGAGCACCCTGATTCATTTCTTTAGTAGTCAACTGGTCATACATATGCATTTCCCAGGGATGACGTCCATAGTTGTCATGCTAACTGAAGACATGCATTCATTTCCCAGTTCTCGTCAAGCAGTTTCGGACATGCTGCAACAGCCTTTTTTTTAAAACTTTGAAGTAAACATGCAAGATCCAAATGCCACAGGACACAATTTCCAGTCTGAGTTCACTGACAATCAGCTCTCGCATTATCTCCCAAAATGCAGTAGAGAAGAGACCCTGTGGTATTCACATCATACATCAATTTATTCTGACAAAGGTATGGCCTCCATTGCCTCATACAGAATCTTGTTTGTTTGATTTTGTTTTCTGTAATTGTCCAGCAAACATGTATTATATTAGTCTCTCATCATTCAAAATTGACAGTAAAGCCTCTTCTGAGAAATAATGAAAGGACATCTTTTCATTTATAATTTGCCTTAAATGACATTTTGTTCAAAAATATTGTGAGAAAATTGTATTGTGAAATCTGTATCGTGAATCATATCGCATTGTAAGTTAAGTGAATTGTTACATCCCTAATTGTCATATATATACATTCATGTATCATTTTTCTCATATCACTTGCCATAGGCAAAAAGTTATTTTGGACCCTGATTTTACATTTCTTGACTGAAAACTTCACGCTTGACTTTTTCCCCTTTTAGTCACAGTACGTAATGGGTTCAGGAAGCACCCTATATATCACCTCCAGCATTAAATAGCATGTTAGCAGAGGTGAATCCATGTTTACGGGGACTTTCCTGATATATAACCACTCTCAATTCAGCATCCAAAACTCACTCAAGTCACTAAATGTACTGTGCTATCAATGAAAAAAAAAAAATTTAAAATTAGATTCTAAAGCATCTAGATCAATCAAGAGATGTAAAGGTGATTGGATTGTAACGTTGAGGACACATTATGACTGGTCATCTCAACTTGCACATGCTCAACTACAGGAGTCTGACATCACACATCCATGCAGTGTTAAATTCCCAAAATCACAGAAAGATGCATGTGTGTATAAACTCCAGTTATAGAAACTTTTATCTGTGGGTTAACCTCCCTTTTTAGCTATCAGATTCTCTTTATGTTTTGAGATTTAGGCTAGCTGGATGCCTTTTCTGTTCTTGCAAAGGATATAACATATGACTACATATCCAGGCTGACCAGTGTAAAGGCATTCAAAACTCTATAATTCTCTTTTTGATGGGAAAAAAATCGTCTCTATGACAACATAATAGACTCATCCCTGCAAAGACTGGGAAGCTTGCCGGTTGCTATGACAACTTACTGTTGATTTTGAAGCAAATTATTGTGCTTCGAGAATAAAGAGTCCCAAAAATCCCTACGCATTCAACCGAAAGAACATTGTGTACAACCTTCAACAATGGTAAATTATTTTGTTGGTCTCAAGTAACTGCCTCTCGCAAACTATCTGGGAAAGCGAAACCCTCAAAGTTGTAATACTTTTTCTTTACTGTTTCTGTAACTGTGTAGCATTTGATTTAAACGGTACTGAGTGAAAGACATATCTGTAAAAGCAAAGACTTCAACTGTTTACATACTCTGGCAACAATACAGCAATATCCCTGTAGCCTCAAACTAGCTTGTGCATCTAGGTCAATTTGGCCAGGTACTGAAGCTGCAAAGTCCTACAGGTATACTTGGCAGACATGCCAATTTAGATGTCTCTGAAACCAGACTAAAATATCTCAGACATAAGACTGGTGTTAGTAGTGTTAGTTTGTATTTTAGCATCTCTTGTGAGAGGGCGAATGAGCAGGCAAGGGTGTACTTGGTTCACTTACTCTGAGGACATGAAAGAGGACATGGGCCCAACCTCCTTGGCTTTCTGCAGGGCATGTTTCTGATTAAACGCCTCTTCCTCCTCCTCTTCATCCTTTGGAACAGCAAGGCGTTTTTCGTTATACAATTGCCTTACAAATCCTTCAGCATATAAAGCTAAAAGAACCTTGCTGGATATACCTTTGTGAGCTCCTGGGCATTGGCCAAATTGTCAACAGCGATAGCCAAGAAGACGTTGAGCAGTGTATCTGACCATTTTGTCAAGAATTTTGGCTCAAAACAATGAGCTATACAGAAATAACCACCAAAACTAAGGAGGACAGATTTAACCCAACATACAGTATTATGCAATCAGCATAGAGTTTCAAGTAAACGTGCACTAATCTTATAAGCTTAGTAATGTCAGGCAAATAAAAAAAGCAAGTTACAGACCACAGAGAAAACTGTAGTGAAGAATCATGCACAGAAAGAAAAGGAATGTGTATTAAGAAGTAAATAAGGTCAATTTTGATTTCATGTTGACTTAAAAATTATTGAAGACCTGAAGAATAGCACACACACACACACACACTAGGTATTGCTGGTCATGGATAGAGAAAGAATCAACGTAGGATACAATTTCCAAACAGAGTCAGAACAATGAAGTAGACAGATGACCACATCCCTGACTTCACGCCACCTTGAGACCGGATTCCATTGTACATGACTTCATTCCAGTCCTCGCCAGTGAGAATCTAGAAACACAGTGAACTTATTTCAGGCCCACGTGGAATCCAACTTCACAGAGAACTTCCCATATTTCAGCAGAATAATTTGACAGATACTTTTCCTTGCATGTCTGTGACTGTCTATTAAATATTTCGGCTAATCTGATAATGCTTTCTGCAACCAATAAAAGGGATACCAATAACATATTTTACCAAATTCCATTCCCCAGAATTTTAATGATTTTTCCCACAAATTTGCCACATAAACAAAATCTACAAATTTTGTTTGGGCCTAAAGGTATTTTTTTCTGTGCTGGACCTTTTTTTGTTTTCATTATTATAAAGGGAAGATAGATTATGTTTTGTGACTAAGTATGTTTTTGTTCTGCACTCTGATCCTAATTTCCTCTCTATCTGTGCAATTAAATCTTGGTCTAATTAATTAGCCTTCATTCTAAGCCATTTTTCACTAAGAAACATCCGGTCTCTTGCATTATACTCAGATTACAACAGGGTGAAATCTTACTTGAAACACTGTCATGATGGCTGCTGGAAAAGTGTCAAAATTAGTGGGTGTGTAGTCTTCAAAGATGAACCTGTAAAGGAAAAAACACCTATTTGCAAGCCATTTTATTCAAAATGTGTCTGACCAGGTTACTGAATAATAGATTATTTGCTTTTCTCCAACCGGTTGAACCTGATCTATTTTCTATTGTCTTGCTACACCTGTCACATAGAGTTCCACTCTAAACATTGTTTTTTTTTGCATGAAATTTGATGCCATGTTTGATATGGGTATTGTTGAGTCAGGATTAAAGCAAGCTGAAGGTTTAACATTGTTATTGCAAATGACATAAAGAGCAGCTCATAACTACAGGTGTAGCATTCAGACATTTTCAGTCATAAATCCAAATTTAAGTCTACGGGCACTGTCTGTGCTTAGACTGATAAGATATTACCTTCCACCAAAGAGCTGCATGCCCAGAAGTGCAAAGACCAAAATGAAGAGGAAAAGCAGGAAGAGCAAACTGATAATAGACTTCATGGAGCTCATCAGAGACACAACCAGGTTCCTCAGGGACGCCCAGTACCTTAACAACACAAATACAGCATCTCTAAGTTCAAAATAGGGACAACCAGAACAGAGCAAAGACGTCAATAAATAGATTATTGTCTCTGCAAGAAGCAAACAAACCCAAGAGGCTGTTATTCCAGACAAGCGTGCACTTACTTTGTGATCTTGAAAATTCTCAACAATCGCAAGGCACGCAGAACGCTGATCCCAAAGGATGTGCCAGGTCTGAAGAACCCCCAGAGCACCTCAAAAATGCTGCCCACTATCACCTGGATAGAATTCAGGAATTTTACCTCTTTAAATATGCCAAAATGATGATGTTAATGATGTCAAAAAAATTCTGTCTAAAGGTGCGGTCACATTAGCAAAATTTCTTCAAAATTTCACAAGGAAAAAAGGTCCATTGTCTGTTGTCAGTTGTGTAGCGATGTATGGAGCACAACAAATGCTACTTACCTACTGAAATTCAACAATGAAACCACACAATGGTATTAAAGACTATCTATCTATCTATCTATCTATCTGTCTGTCTGTCTGTCTGTATGTATGTATACATATGCAATATATATATATATATATATATATAAATATATATATATATATACATTTAATACAAAATTAAATCAAACATTAATTGCATGTTAGATAGAATGTTATTTGATTGAACAAGTTTTATAGTTTTCAAACAGAAAACATGAGATTTACTCATTTAAAAAAATGTAACAGGATCTGTATTCATGGAAAGGGCCAGGTACAAATGTTCTGATTCAATTAAAGATTAGCCAATAGCTAATCATTATATATTGACACAGTCCAGAACTAAAACTGAATTATAATTAAAGGTGGGGTAAGCAATTTTTCAAAAACGCTTTAGAAAACTGATTCGGGCCGACTAGTAAAACAAATTTGTAGCCAATCAGCAGTAAGGGGCGTGTCTACTCATGATGTGGAGGAGAGGGTTCAGTGCACAGGACGGACATTAGCGAGCCAAGTGACAGTAAGATAGAGATGGTGGATAAAAAACAAAAGAGGAAAACG